CTCTTGCCGTGGCTACTGTGGCTGCCGATTCGCACATCGACGGATGGACGCGCGCAAGAGAACTCTAACCGCGTGCATGGTTCACTTAGTTCTCTGGATGTTCCCCGGTCCAACATGTTTTAGGGGAACACGTACTGTAGGCTTTCCCCAATGTTCTGCATGAAATAGCTGCGATGTCCCAGGCACCAAAACGCAGTCCTGTCTCAAAAGCCAATCCGTTTTGTTCGGGATTGTGCCGAAATGTGCCGAAGCCTCAAGTGCCAACATGCTGTACTGTTCTAGAAGAACCAAAGGCGAAATAAAAAATGCTGTGCTGTTATAAAGACATCAACGAAACCAAAAATGTCAACCTGTCGACGCTGCTTAGCCTCCAAGTGCCCAACATACATGGGTTGGTTTTCCTGAGGACAGCATAACATTTTGACAGTGCCGTTTGATAGCTGCTGCGTGCAGGTACCTCTCACCGCATTTGGGGTATTTCTGGCTTCTTAAGACCTTTTTGCAGGAAAAGCGATCCTGGAAAGCCAAGTTGCTCAAGATGGACAATACAGCATTCTGCCGCATGAAGGCTACGACAGTGTGGTACTGTCGCAAAAAGGAAGAACGCAATTTGGTTTTGTACAGTACCACTTTTTTGCATCGTTGGGCTTCGCAAGTATGGTACTGTCCCCCCCCCCCGACCAATCTCGGATGCCAAAATGCGATTTTGTGCAGTACCGCGTTTGCGTGTTGAGCTTCGCAAGTGTGGTACTGTCCCCCCCCCACAACCAATCTCGGATGCCAAAATGCGATACTGTTCCGCCACGATACTGTTCCACCAAAACGAATCCCGCTGGATTCTTTTGGACAGTGCGACATTTGAGAACAGCCGTATTGCTTCCTGAGGCTCCGACAGTGGACAGTGAGTTTTGCTGAAAGTGGCAGTGGCGGGATGCCGAAATTTAGAGGCTGTGCCAAGTCGCAGCATCTGGCATCCCAAGCGCGGACACAGCAGGGGGTACCATAGACATCCCTACCTACCGACCGAGCGATCGACCGACATACCTACATACCTGCATACTTGCTACATTTGAGAGCGGCACTAGGCAGCGCACAAAGTCTTCCCCGCTGCCTGGCGACTCGCACGAAGTAGTCGGGCTTCGCTGATGGACGCGCAAAGCTTCCTGCGCAAGATGTCTTCGTTCCGCCAGGGTTCGAGCAGCCAAGGAGCCTCCTGCAGGCGGCAGTTGAGGACGTGGGTCTTGAAGCCGATGCAGCACCTGTGAGGAAATGGACTAGGCCTACAAGTGTTGGAGGTTTTTGCACGTGGCATGTCCGTGATGTATCGTGAACCGCTTAGAGCTGTCATGGTACCTTTATAGTCTTTATAGTATTGTGCATGATACACTTTGGCAATTCAGGCAATATACAAAGTGACTCTTCCGGCATTTAGAACATCTCATGGCCTCGTCTGATACAGTATTAGATGATGGACTGCCGTGATGCAGGGCTTGATGCAGACTGTACCATGATACAGCACTGGGATACCATGGCACAGCATCATATTGTTATAGACTTATCTCGCGTAGTATTACCGCATTATGAGGCAGCAGGATCCGGAACATCTGCTCGCTTGCCGAATGGCCGATGTTCCGCCTGCCGAACTTCTCGCTGCCCCGTCTCCTATCCGCCACTCAGGTGCTTTTCAGTTTTGCGAACGCTGGACGCGTAATGCGGGCCACCGCGTGCGCGGCCTGCGACCGACAGTCGATCAAGGTCCCAGCTCGTTTCTCGTGAGGTTGAGAGGTCTTGAGTCGTTACGTGTCTCTCAGTTTGGGAGTCCCATCAAGCCTGCTCGGCTGAAGGTCTACATGATTTTGTACCATCCATGGAGAGCGGTCGATAGCGTGAGTCTTTTGAGACGGTGGTGCATTACATCGAGAATCATCTATCTGTCAACCCACGTGTTCCGAGGTCCGGCTGGGCTAGCACGGCTACCAGCAACAAAAACTAGATGTACTGTGAGCAATCTGCCATGCTGAGCCTTTTTTTTCTCCTTAGGTTGAAGTTTGCATTCTGCACAGAAGGAAGCCCGGTCATGTCGAGGAAAGGAATGTTTTGTGGTGGCTGGTTGCGAGACAGCAAAGATCCATTCATTGTCCAGTTCTCGTGGGTATGCTTGAGTTTTTGTCAGAATCGTTTTCGTTTACGGATGCAGATCTTGTTCCATGAAGGCGCGAGGATGTTCAAGTGATCATGTGGACGAACGCAACGTTCATTTTTGCGAGGGTGCAGCGGGCGTTCGATTTGCGACAGAAGAATCGTCTGTTCGTTCACCTCTGCCTAAGCGTGATGATGCTAGGACTACAGCAAGACCTCAAGCTTCCTGTCTTTCTCCATCCTCGTGCCCGAGAACGATGCTTGGAAGATGTGCGAGGTGTACGACCGCCTGGCAGCCAGGGGAGTCATCACTGTCCGTCTCTGGAACAAACTGACTCCGCCGCTCGGCGATGATGTCCCTGAAACCTCGTTCGCTGCTTTGTACTGTTTTGCACGCGTCAGAAGCTTCTGCTTGTGTTGTCAGCGGGTTGCTTCGACCGAAGGAAGGCCTACTATGGGGAGTATGCAATGCACGTCCTTATGAATTGCAAGCTGCAAGCCACTGGCCACATCTTCGAAGTCCGGCTCTGCTTTGGTGCCTTTGGCCGAGATGGGTTTTAGGAGGAAGGCAGAAGCTGAACTGGAAGTTTCGAGGTGCCTTCTACCACCTGGAGCAAGACTTGAGCTGGCTCTGCGACTGGCGCGAACTGCTGCGCTCCCAGCACCATTTTCTCCCTGGCGAAGAAAACCACTACCAGGGACAGGTCAGGGACAAGGCCGATGCTGTGGGGAAAGGTGTCGGGAGTCCGTTCCACTTCAGTTCTCGATGCGAGGTGGGACAGCTCATTGATGTGGAAGTCTTGACGCCCAAGTCCGCCCTTCCGGGAAAGCCAGATGGCGAGGGTGTGACTTCGCAAGTTGATTAATGATTCTTGGATTTGCTGCTGGTTGAAGTCCGAGGCTTCGAGGCCGCACGTGCTCGGCTGCCCGCCGAGGTGATGTGCTATGCGGATGGTGGAGACCTTTACCGGGGCCAGTGGGTTCAGGGCAAAAAGCATGGTCAAGGAGCACAATACTACTGCTCTGGAGACAGCTACCAGGGCGAATACCAGAATCACAAGCAGCATGGGCTGCAGTTTGGAATTCATTTGCCCGTATCAGAAAGGTACAACTTGTGCGAAAAGTCGAGTAAGCCGCACCGCAAGATGGTCCCGAAGCCCTGTGTCCTAAACCCGTTGTAACCGTCCATGGCAACCAGGAAGCATGGCCAGGGCATCTACCGATATGCCGATGGCGACTGTCACGAGGGCCAGTACTTGGAAGGCCGGAAACATGGCTCCGGCTTGTGCCGTGGCCGGGAAAATATTGACCGAAGCTGGTGTTGTTCGATTAGTTCCTGCGACTGTAGGCCCTAGGCCCAGGCGAAGCAGGCAGGAGCATGTGTTGCGCCGTAGGCTGCAGAACTCCCCACAGCCACCTTGCTGTGGTTGGTTTGCACTTCAGACTCAGGTTTTCAGTTCCGTGGGTGAGTGCATTTCCGGCTCGAAGAGAGCCTCCTCAGGTACTGGTACTCGGACGGCCGTGTCCTGGTATCCAACTACGACCACGATCAGCAATCAGGAGCCGGGACTCGTGAGTCGAAGGCTCCCGTCGCCAACTGAGTGTAAGAAGAAGAAGAGGATAAAGTCCGCGATAGGTAGGAGCAAGGACCAAGTTCAAGCGAATCGCTCCTCCAGGACCCGGGGTCGTCTGGAGCACCGATGGTCTTCAGGCTTGGCTCACGGAGTCAGGCATCGAGGTGGGCCCCCAATCCTCAGTCATGTGCAGCACGCAAGTAGTAGCACCACTGGGGGAGCCTCTGCAGCGACGAGATCCAAAGGCGGAGGAGGTGTACGAGTGGGCTGTTTTCTGCTCATTTGAGTTCCGGGGCCCTTGGAGTGGCTTCCGTCTTAAGCACCTGCCGTATGCCGGAAGTCGCGCAGGTGTCGGACCTGGATCTGGACACAGCCGACCAGAAAGCAAGGGAGATGGGCTTCCCACCCTTCCCACGTGACTGAGGTCGCGTTCCATTTAAGGTATCTGTGTATGATGCCTCCACTCGTGCATAGACGGGAGCAGAACCATGAGATCCCGAAACAACAGCGTTCAAAGGCTCCCAGAGGTGCAGAGATCCAGCAAAGAAACAGTGGACCTGCAGTTTAGTTCCTACGCAAGAATGAATATTCTAGAGTTCAGGAATTAGGACGGGCAGTCTATCTCTCGACCCGAAAGCTCCTTGCTATGCTGCGCGTGGCTGTTAACGCTGAGCACTGCGACTTCCATCTGTGGGCTCTTGAAGTGAGGGAGGGCGCCAATGTGTGCCCCTGGCACGGCCACGCTGGCAAAGCCAGGCGCTGGCCTCCCGCCGTTGGGCGGTTGGCTCCAAAAAGCCCATATCCATCTTCAAAGGGCTGGTTTGGGTTTGGGTCCTCTTCAGCACGAATCGGAAGAGACCTTCCATGCCTTCGGTTGCGAGAGAGGCCTGCAGAACCGAAAGATGAGGAGGGGTGAGGATGCTGGCAATTCCCAGGTCCTCTGAACTTGGCCGACACCAGCAGTGCTGTCGTGAAGTAGACAGGCCATGTGGAATATCCGAGAGTTTCTACCCCAAATAGCAGGTTCCACCTCGATTGAGCTCCAACCCCGAAGCCCGAAACAGTGAAGGCACCATACCAAGCATCGAAGCGTTGCAGAGTTTCGGCAGCTAGATCTTGCAGCCATGGACATTTCACAGATGACGGAGGAGGATCCGGGCAACATTGCTATTCGAGGTATCCAGTGCCTGCACTCTGCTACTCATGGAGTGCTTCATGTCTCAGCAAGGTTGTCGGGATAAGGCTTGGTTACATGATATTTTGCTGAAGGAGCAGCTGCAGGCCGCGATGCAGCTGTCTCTGGAAGAGGCTGGTGGCGCCAGGACAGAGGCACGCCGCGGCATGTCCATTGTCTTAGAAAAAGAGGTGTACTGTGATTCTTCATGCCTTGCGTTGTATGCAAACACGAAGAAGTACCGGCGCCTTCTGGTTGTGCTTTTGAGTCAGCAAGTCACCTCCGCTCACGTTCCCGCCGCCCCACTCATGTCATTGCTCGTCGTCCTGTCTACATCCGTGCCTTGCTGTACCAGTAGGACTTTGAGGCCACCGCGGCAGGACTTCCTTCTGAGGAAGCTTCGGGGCCTGAGGTTTGGGGCTTTCCTGCCTGGGCATTGCTTCGTTTCGGGCGTTTCATTGCTCCGGCTCACCAAAATCCCCAGAGCCCCTGCAGCGAGCGTCCTTCTTGGCTCTCCCCCAAAATCGCACGTTGACCTTTCGGTTCTCTCACCCGGCACGCGAGCATGTTGTGACCCTGAAACAGGGCTCGCCAAGCTAAGGGGCAAAGGCAAACAGAACGGCCTAAGCTGAAACAATCGTCGCCCGCAGGTGGCGGACAAGCAAGTACGCGCAGCAGTTTTGCATGCTCCTTGTGTTTAAACCCGCCGTGCCAGGGTCGACAAGCTGAGCAAGAGCAGCCTACGAGTTGGCAACACTTCGGCTCCGAAGTGGAGCGTCTCTAGATCTTCGTAACCCAAACAAGTCCAATGTTAGGCGGGTCGATCCGGGGTGAGTACAAGAAGCAGATGCTGAGCGGCAGCAGTTCCCTGGCCTTCAAGGGCTCGCCGGCAGCGCCTCGCTCGGCCCCCACTCCTGGCCGGCCGCAGCCGCGGACTTTCCCTAACAAAGACTCGCAGGACGAGCTGGGAATTGCTTGCGTTTCGAAGGTTGCACAGCTCCGAGACACATCTTAGGAATTTTAGGACGTGGCTCTTGGCTTAGAGTCTTAGAGGCGACTTGCTAGATGGCAAGCATCAAGGACCATTCAATCTTGCGTGGGACTCAAGATCGTGGCCTAGGATGTGCTGTCCCCTCCTTGCCGTGCCTCTGCCAAGAAGAAACGTGACTCTTCTGAAGTAAGTGTACGCGTTGCTGGAGGTTGTTTGGGAGTTGACGGAAATGCGTTGCCTCGATGGCGGATTGATGGCTGGGGCGCTTCCATGAGTATCATAGACGCATCCATTCTGGCATCGCAGCTGCCCTCGCCACGAAGCTTCGACAGGCGGCGAACCCCGGACAGAGGGCTCCGAGGTGGAAATGGATGGGGAAATCGCCGAAGCCCGCCTGCAGAGAGATGCCGCCAAGAAGATAAGCCCAAACCTCCTTCCAATTGCCACTCTGGCCGTTGGTGAAACTCCAGGCGCAGCCAGCCCTTTTCTTGAATCTTGTGACTCTCCGAATGCTGAGTCGTGTGAATTTGGGCAGACAGTGCATAGCAGAGTATCGAGTTCTATTTGCATTCCCAAGCCTCCAATGCCAGTTTGTTGATTTGTAATTTTGGGACAGCATTTCCTTTGTGGCTGGGTCGTCACACCGATTTAATTCGGAGGAGGCCAACGCAGTTCCCCCAAATGTGCCCGTCCCGTTCAGGAGCTCTTGAGGCTCCTCTTCGGCGACAGCCCCGAGGCTCTGCCGGTTGCGGTGGATGTCAGTTTTAGGTGCTGAGCTGTCTCGTTCTGGTCTTGATCTGATGGGAAGAGCGCTTCTTCTGCTGGTTTCTGAATGCAACTCTAGATTCTCAAAATCCAAACTTCTAAAAACCCTGAAAAGGCTTCGAGATTGCTTATAAAGTGTTCGGAAGGCGGCGGATGTGGAACGCTGGCTGTCTGTTGGATTCCAGCTACTCGTGCCGGCAAGTCTCCAAACCAGCCACTGCCCGGAAGCTCGGGAACTGCGAAGTTGTCGGTCAAATTAAGCCTGCAGCCTGCTAAGCCAAAAGGGAGGTTGGTGCAACCGAGGTGGAAGAATGAGCAAGAGAAAGAGAAAGAAGAAAGAGAAAGATGAGGCGAAGGAAACGAACCTGGAGCGTGAGGGAGAGACCTTGCTGCCCATTGTCGGCATTGGCAACTGTCCACAATCTCCGCCCCTGCGCCGAAACATTTGGGTAGGGGAAGGAAATAGAGAGGGAAACCTATATGGAAGAAAGACCTTGATGCCGTCAAAGATGATCCTACTGCATGTCGGCGTTGCAGGCACTCACGCGTTTTTCCAGCGAATCCTAGCAGTCCTAGCAGGAGAGGATCTCAGCGTGGCTCTACGATGGTTTCAGGAAGACAGCCGAAGACCCGGATGGGTTCGAAAGGGGGCGGTCGGGGTTGCTTTCTGGCCGATGAGGTTGCGGATGGGCGCTGGTAAGAGAAACATGAACCAGCGCGCGAGGAGTAGGTGGCGATTCTACCTTGGCTGTGGTGAAGTAGGGGGAGAGAAGGAGAGTCCACTGGAGACAAGGCAGGTCGGTTCTTGGCCGTGACCGGCAAGCGTCCCATCCGTCACCCTGCAACCCTTGGGAGCTAAAAGCCTTCAAACCCTTCTCCCGGTACACGTGTGGACAATTCAGGATTCCCCGATGCGGATCCCAAACTCTCTAATGCAATGTGCCATCAGCGCTCAGCCGAGGTGGAGCCAACGTGCGGGTCTGGAGTGGGGCCTTTGGCAGAAGCAGGGTGGGCCTTGCCCCTCGCCCGAGTTTAGGGTGTAGACAGGGGGGTTGTACGGTGTTGTACGACTGTTGTTGTCTTGCTTACTGAAAGTTGTTTCATGGAGTGTGTTGAAGCCCGAGGCCACGTCAGGTTTGAGGCAGTGTCTAACCTGACCGCCTTGTTGCACCGAGACAGGTGGTGTATTCGCTCCAGTTCAGGCACGCTGCCTTGGATGCAGGTGAAGTGCCCCTGTCTGGTAAAGGCTGTAGTCAGCAGATTACTCGAGCACATTGAAGCTTACGGCGCTGAATAGGGTTCCAGGCCTGGTGTCGCGCTTTCGGGCAGTGTTTCAGAGTCTGAAACAGGAGGGGAGAGTCGTCCTTCCCAAGAGCCGCCGTGACGAGAGGCCTTCATTGTGAAGCAGCTGCTTTTCGGAGGCGAATCGGAGCCGATCGTGGAGAGGCAGAAGGCCAGAGAGGGATCACTTCATGCCAACGCGCTCATCAGTTTCACATGCTCAGCAAGACTGGGGTTCTGCAAACTGCCAGGAGCAGCCGATGGCAACTTCTGGTGCAGATGATGAGGAAGTTTCCGGCTGCTGCTGCTGCTGCTGCTGTTGCCCCTGCTGTTGCCTGATGCACGTAGGACCAGCAGCTGCTACTTGTCCTACGCGTACTGCGCAACCGTGTCCTTCTGTTCCGACGGATCTGTTGCCAACAGGACGCCCGCGCACCGGTCCTTGCGCACGCGCTGAGCTCCATCCTTTTCCACTGCTGTCCGAGCTCCTCCTACACGGTGTGCCAGGCCAAGGGTTGGTTTTGGGGTCTTTGTACTTCCTCGTCAACATACCGGAACCTGGCTGTCTCCAAGACTGGCCAGTGTGGGAAGGCTCAAGACAAGGTTCGGGCATCTTTTCGACTCTCAGTTGTAATGGGCTGAAAGCTGTGGCCAATCCATCACATCTGTGGTTTTATTTGCAACTTCCTACAACCTGCGACAGCTGTTTGTGTATCTTTTCGCCAACCGCGTCGGGCCAAAAGGCAAGCTTTGCCAGGGCTTGAATAAAGGGCATGCAACATATTGAAAACGTGTCAGCGGCCTGTCCACAACCCGGCTCCAGATCATGTCATGTGCCATTTGCCAAGAGGTCCGGCCCCGGGCAGAGAGCGAGGGCGAGGCCGCAGCCATCGCAGCCGCAGCGCCGGCCGTGATCGCCGCCGGAGCCGCGAAGAGCTTTCCCGTCATCCGATTCCTCCAAATCCGACACATCTTGTCCTTTACAAGGAACCCCCCCTGAGATTGGATTTTGGGAGGAGAAGGGGCCGGCGTGCTGGCAATCACGGCGCGCAAACTGAGTCGCGCCGCAGAGGTGAGGCTACTCCTGGAAGCAGGCCTTCAAGCGGGGCTGCAGGGTCCTTGCTGTCGCTTGCACCTTTGAAACAGAAACCCACACACCTCCCTCCAAAAGACTCGCCCGGAATTAGCGACCCAATAAAGGGCCGAGTGTCCAGTGTGAGATTGCCGCGCAAGAGGAGCCGACAGCTGGCTTGCGGGTCCGTTTGGCGTGCTGAGCTTTCTGTGCTCCGTTCTGGCCACCCGCGGCCCATCTTCCGTCCGAGAGGCAGGGATCGTAAGCGTCCAGGGGCCGAAGCTCAGCAAGGGATACAGTGGTGGCTTTGTTCGAGCTACTCCGTGTGTCTAAGCTCTGCGAGGTTGGGCAAAGCTTGGGATGTGTAATGGGGGCAGGATATGAGGAATTTGGATCGCAGCTTAGGCAGTGAATTTGCCAATGGGATACGGCATGCCGTGGCTACCAAGTCGTGGATTCTACTGATGCCGACAAACAGAGAGACACACAGAGAGATGTGCAGAGTGGCGTTTCAAGTGCACCGGAGCTGGGCTTCCAGAGCAGAAAGACTTTGCTTGAAGTGGAGGATGCTGTGGCTGCGTTTCAGGCCCTGATCCACGAAGATACTGATCTTTGTATTCCAGCTTCCATCTGTGGTGCCATTCACGTTTACTCGAGATATCTGGGTGGAAGGAATGCCTTCGCTTCAGGCTGCGTGAAGCGACACTCCTCTGGGCAGGGGACCTCCTTTGTGCGCGTGGGGTCGAGGTGGGTGGTGGCGAAGGCGAGGGTGGCACGGAGTCCAGGATCAACAAGCTGTGAACGTCCAAGCAGCTGGTAAAGCACTGAACTATCAACAAGTATACACAACACATTTAACTCCACTCAACATGTGGAATCTGTCCCCTAGCCTACCTTCGGATTCCGAAAACTTCCAAACCTCATTGCGAGGATATGGACGATCCCAGTACACCGCTCATCGGTCGTTTTGGCCACTGCAGTCAGGAGCCGGCCGTGCATCATGTAGGCACCTGTAGCCTCGGGGGTCCGTGACGCAGAACGGCTTTCGCAAGCTCTGGCTGCACGGTTTGTTTCCGGCAATGCGAGCCCGACAAGCCTTCGTCAAGCCGTAGTTCAGCCCAGCCAAAGACAGGAGCTCGTCAATTTGATGTTAATCGGGGAGGCGACCTCGCCCCTTGTCCTGGCAAGAGAGCTACGGTGTGGGAACTTGTGCGTCGTCAAGCAGGTGATTGTGCCTTCAGTGCCTTCAGAGGGCAGCCTTTGAAACTTTGGGCTGGTGCTCAAACAGCGAAGCCCTCCCCATGAGCAAAGGAACGTCTTCGATGGAACACGATGGCTTGGAGACGATCCATCCAGTGGGTTCTTGGTCAGGTGCTGCGGGTGTGTCGAGCTTCGATTTATCATCAAACTTCTCAGGCTGTTGGGTTATAAGGAGTTCCGGAGGTGGGGCTTCTGGATTCAGCAGCTTGCCGACGGCACTGAGTTTGGACCGTAGAATGGTCGACAAGAAGCTGGAGGCCTGATCAGCAAGTTAGCAGTGCCTTGCAACCTTGCACAAGCAACACCCGTTTGTCGTGGACAATGTGAATGGAAATAGGTTGCTTCGCACAGCCAGCGTGCAGATGCAAAGGAAACGAAGGTTAGCGGTTAGCAGCTGAAGTCTCTTCCCTGTGCTCAGGGGTGTTGACAGCGAGAGGGTGGGCTTGCCGCAGATCGGCTTCCTGAGTGAGCTGGAGCCCATGATATCCGGTCCGTGTTTTAGAAAAATTGTTCTCCTTTCGTTCCCCATGTGCTGGTTTGAGCATGCATCTCTCTTTTGTTTCCTTCAGCTGCGTTGGTAAGGAGATATCTTTCGGTGGGCCTGCGCCCTGACAGCTATTAGTGTCTGGAAGTGCTTGACACAGGCATGTACTGTATGGCTGCAGTATCGGGGTGATGTAGCTACCGCGCGTGTGCCAGCATTCAGTTCTACAGCGGCATCGCATTCGATTGGAGGGTGATGTCGTGTTTCCTTGCCCTATAGGCTCTACAAGAACCCCGACTTCCCGATTTGGGTGTTGGGATCTCCGACGCACTACACGATGCTGGGCTGGAATTGAGCTCCCTTAGCCAACAGCCTCTGTATCGACTCCTGCTTCCGATTCACCGACCCTCTGAACAAGACTCATGGGAAGAATGCCACAGTCCAAATAACGATCCGAGTTCGCACCAAGAAATGCTTCTAGGATGATCTTCTCTGCTAACCGGTCCGACTCGCAGCTCAGCGATGAGGCGCGGAGTGACTAGGAGATAGTAGGAGCATGGCGTTGACATGGTGAAGCATGTCAGAGATACACACGCTGTCGGCTGTCTGCAGTCTGAAGGTAAGCGTAGTTGTCCATGCCATGCCCGCGCAAACGTCTGCGGCCCTCATCTCTACGGATTTGTTCGAGGATCCTTGGGAGTAACAGTATGCGCTGTTTTAGGCTGCGAGCTGCGCAGAAGCCGTCGCAGTGCCAGGCAAGCCTGGAGCAGCAAATAAGAAAGGTCTTCGTCGAGAACTCCATCGACGAAGGCACGAGTCCCAAGGAGAGGACATTCAGGTATCCAGAAGTTCCAGAAGGGGTTGCTGACGAATGAAATCGGAGATAGCTTTTATTGTCAGTCCTCCATTGTTTTTCCCAGCGATTGGGCCAAAGCTTCTGAAGACTTAGCCGGCGTCGTGGTGGAACGGCCAGTCTGTTCGGAGCTGCACCCGAATACAAAGCCGAAGCCTCTACTCGATCTACTTCGAAGCCGTACCAAAACAACAACTTCATGGAGCTCCTGCCTGCAAGGCGGCCTTGCGATGTCTTCGAGCCTGAGCAGCTCGGCAGGGCCTTGAAGTGAGCGGCCAGGGAGCCAAGCCAGGAACCTCCTCCTGGGCAGACGTGTTTGCAGAAACCCTTAGTTTGTCTGCAACTTGTCTCTGCGTTGCGTTTGGCATCAACCTAACGCATCCTCTCGCTGCAGGTAAGATGCTTGAGGCTCTCGGCATTGCCGTGACTCGTTCTTTAAGAGCCGTCTGAATGCCCGAGCATGGGTTCAGAGCCGTCGCATCTCCTTGAGACCGGAAGCTCTGGATTTGCAGACCTTAGCCTTAGGGTGTGGAGCATGGGCTCTGGCTTTCAGCATCAGTATTCTTCAGGCAAGGAGCAAGCCAAGCATGTCTCCTTCATGCTTGGTGCTTTGACCATGGAAGTTAAGTCCTAACTCCGTGGAACAGAGGCAGAGATGCTGCCCGAAGCCCAACGCGAAATGGTTCGAGAAGATGTCATCTTGCTTGACACCTAGCTTGTGTGGGGTGGTCGTCGTGGCAGTATGGAGATTGACTCTTGATTTTGCTAGAGGGACTTTGCTTCGTTGCGGCTGTTTCGTGTGACAGTCGCATTGAACTTTGGGGTCTGGAACATCGGGTGGCAGTGCCGTTGCACCGGACACGAGAGGAGTCAAAAACATGGATTTCGTGTGTGTGTGTGTGTGTGTGTGTGTGCTTGTGCGAGGTGGGAGGATTTCCGCCGATGGACCAGCAACATGGCTCACACGGACACATACACACACACACACACACACACACGCACACCCCTCTGTGCAGAGTTGTTGTCAAGAGTGTTTCCCGAAACCGTGTGTTGTTGAAGTGGGGATGTGCCCGAGCCCAAAACCAGGCCCGAGCCGCGCCCAGTTCCCTGCACTGCACGGTGGCTTCTGGGCTTTTTGGCTTCGCGGTTTTGGCTCTGTGACTGAAAAGCTGCCGTCCTCGTTTTAGAATGCGTTAGATTTCTTGGGTTTGTGGCTTTCTTCGCTGCTTCTGGTATCCTGTGTCATATTGCACCTCTTCGGAAGCCACGTCGATGTGTGCAGGCACAAATGTTGTTAGCACACCGCCTGCGAGGTGAGGTTGTGCGGCCCCCTGTGCACATGTGCAAAGGATTTTTTCAGGGCTGTGCCCTACTCGCATTGCAGCATCCGTACATTCGACTCAGGCCGAGGCTTATGTCGCGGGAGTTGTCATAGGAGGAAACACCGATGACATCAGTGCTACATCCAGAATCCGCAATCTGACCTTTTGATCAACAACTTGTGTCGGTTCGACTCTGTGATTCGTGCATATGAAGGGTGTAGTCTCGATCCTTCCAAGAAGAAAACATTCACACCGGTGTCGAGGATATTAAGGGCAGCCTCTACACTACCTTCGCAATGCTGTTGCCTCCCGTTTTGGCTTCGAATACCATGGTCTTCACACACTGGCACACTTGCATGAGACAACTCGACTACCGTCGAATTTAATGTGATGAATCCATAGTCCGTCTTCGACAACTTCATGAGGATACGGTTTTCAAAACTTCTGTTCGCGAGCTGCTAGCTTGATGAGGAGCGATGTGCGCATATGACTTACGAGCATCGTGATTTTGCGACTCTGAGCTTTGGTTGTTACTGGCGCCCACAGCAGTTTTGCGACATGCTGTTGATGTTCACAAAACGAATCAATGCCACAATGAATTACAAGACCTAGCATGGCAAACCAATGAACCAGGCCAGGAAAGTTTGGAGACTGATGGTCCTATAGAAGATGGCTCCTGCTCAATTGTTGCTGCTGGTGACCATAGGGAAAGCGGTGCTAAGTTCCACCGTAGTGCGCAAAAGCGCCTCACAGCTCTGACTGAAGCAAAGACAGAAACTACAAAACAAGGCCAACCTGGTCTTGAAGCACTTACGTTCGGGCCTGCAGCTCGGAACCCGCCTGTGTCGAAAGACTTACCAAGACAAATGGATACCACACCCGGAACGATGCGAAAACAGACCGACTGAAGCCACTGGCATCTCGATCCGTCAGGAACCAAACCTCCTGAAATCAAGACTTGCCAAATCTAAGGTGGACAGTTTGATGTCAAGACATCTGCAGAGCAAACCGCCAACAAGATCAAGTTGTTTCTCTACGACGGGCAGGATTCTCCTGGGGGATATGAGATGCCAAATCCTCAATCGCAGTGCGGCAGGATGCTGTGCCCTGACTTCGTCCAGAAAGTGAAGCCCTCAACAACACTCTTGACCGCCTTCCCCCACACAACAGGATCCACCTGGGCCGACACTGAAGTCTGTATTGGTGGAAGTCAGTGATATTGCACCTTGGCCTTTGCGCTCGAGATTGTGGCCGCTGATGCCATGGATGACGATGATAATGACGGTGATGATGATGGATGTTGTTGATGATGACGCAGATGGTGACGATGAGGACAGTGATGACGAGGATGGTGATGATGGTCATCAGCACCATGGTGAAGAGAAGAGGATGAGGACAGTGATGACCGTAATGGCGACGATGATGAGGATGGCGACAAAAACGATGACGATCAAAATCACAATGAAAACGACGTTGCCGACGATGATGGTGACAATGTTTCTGCTGCTGCTGCTGCTGCTGCTGGTGCTGCTGCTGCTGCTGTTGCTGTTGTGGTTGTTGGTTGTTGCTTTTTGGTTGTTTGTTTTGTTGTATGTTTGATTGTTGCTGTCTATTGTTGGTTATTGTGTGTTGCTGTCGACGGTTTTTTTGTTTGGTGGTCGTGTGTCGTTGGTTCTTGGTTGCCTATCGTTCGTTGTTGTTTTTGACATTGTGGATGATGTTCATGTTTATGATGCGGATGTGCATGAGGATGAAGATGAGGGGACGAAGAGGAGGAGGAGGGATCAGGGCGCAGGGAGCAAGGAGCAAGGAGGAACAGGTCAAGGTTGCAGGGATGCGGATGTTGGCTTGGATAAGGGTGAGAAAGGCGACGGCACCAATGCGGTGATCGTGTCGTTTTTACGATGAAGATGCTGGCTTTGTTGAAATGACAATGGCCATGCCGACGATGGTACCAGTGACCATGTTGTTTCCTTGGCATCCGCTTCATCTGCCTCCTCTTCCAAGACGTTGTGGATGGTCCTCCTTTCCTCTTGCTGATCCTCCTGTAGGGTTCAGATCATGTGTGCGTGTTCCACCAGATCTATGCTTTTGTGTTCCAGTCCCTGTTGTTCTTGCTGTCTACAGTTTACAGAAGTTGTTCTAATTCGTCAACCGGTGCTTCTTGCTGAAACAGTGCCGCCGTCTTGCAGGCATGAGCCAATGCACCCCAACCCCTCCGGCCAAGGACCCCACACTGGCGGCCGGAGGGTCAGAAGGCGATGCCTTTGTAGCCACTCTCCACACGTGCCTTGGCGAGGTTTGTTGGAACTTTGGGAGAGCTGGCAGATGCTTGCAGTTTCTGTAAAAGCCCCGAGCACCAAGTCGCTGGCCGGATGCTGCGGTTCTGGTGTCGGACTTGGGCTGATAAGGCCGCTCCGAGTCAAGGATTGCATAATTGCATGCTTCTTCGCAGCGCTTTGGGCCCTGAGGCAGGTAACGGCATGAAGAGTCTTTGCCGGATTCATTGAAGTTGCAGGAGAAGGAGCTGTTCTGAACTTACTTGGGCGACCGGCTCCTTACGCGTGCATCCCCCACAATACCGCCGAAAGTTATGCTAACTTCAGTTGAGACCAGCTATGGACCATCCATCCTGGTCAGGTTTGGCAAGGTATGCAAGGACAAATGACGCAGACAAAAACTAGCCCAATCTGAGTTCAGCGACGTCAAGCCCTCGCAAGCGAGTAGCTGAACCGGACATAGCCTCAGCTAAGACTGTGCACATGTTTACGTCTGGCTTATCCAGGCAGGGTTTCAGCAGCACACAAAGTTGTCAGACAGTTCATGTTATTTGTTGTGGTTCATTCGTTGATTGTCGGGCTGTCAGATGCCGTATTGCGATCTGTCATGCTTTACCTTGTGCTGCAGAGCTGTGCTGCATCGTTTCCTGTTAGGCTCGTGCTTGTTAACTGCCGCCCGCGGTCATCTTGTAGGGTTTGATAAACATCTCCTTGTAACGCTTGAGTTAGGCCAGCCAACATCTGAAGTTCAAGGTTTAGGGTCAGGTTCAGGGTCGGTTTGCCACTCAATGTGTCTTTCTTTTCGAGTTTGGGCGGCTCACGATTTTTTGGGGGGATTAGGGCTTGCCAACCAAATCTCCTTTTGAGCTGTCGGGATCGCTAATTTTCAGGGATGTCTTTTCAGGTTTGGGGTTTGCCTCCCAACATCTCGTTGCCACCACTGCCACCATCTTCTAGGACTTGGGTTTTGCTACCCGCGATTTTGTTTGGGGTTTCCCAGCAACATCTCCTATTCAGGTTTTCTGTTAGGCTTGTCAAGAAATGGCATGTACTCTTGGGGTTTGTGTGTTGCCCCTCACGAGCTTCTTACAAGGTTCGGTGTTCGCTTCCCATCATGCCCATGTAAGGTTTCAGGTTTGCCAACCAACATCTCCTGTTAAGGTTCAGGATTTGCAGGCTAGCTCTTTTTAGCCTCAGATTTGCCATCCAATTATATCGTGCTCTTGTCGAGTTTGGGGTTTGCCACCGGTGTTTTTCTTCTAGATTCTAGGGTTTGGGGTGTGACACCCACGAGCTTATATGGTTTGGAGTTTGCCAAACAGCGTCTCCTTTTAACGTCTGGGATGTCTTCTTCTTTTATGGCTTGGGGCTTGCCAGCCGCGATCTTCTTTCAGCCTTTGGAGTTTGCCAACCAACATCTCCTTGTACAGTTCAGGGTTTGCCAACGAATGTCTTCTTCTTTTGGAGTTTGGTGTTTGCCACCCACGATTTGCTTTCAAGGTTTCCTCCTTTCGGGTTTAGGCTTTGCCAGCCATGATCTGGTTTGCGAGATTTGCGGTGGTGAGGTTTGCCTCGCAATTTCTCCTTTCAGGGTTTAGGGTTTGCCACCATCTTCTTTTAGGGTTGGGGCGTTTGCCACATGCGATTTTGTTTTGAGGTTTGGAGCTTGCCACCCGGGATTTGCCACACGTGTTTGGGGTTTGCATCCCAGACGGTTTGTGGTTGGCCAATTAATGGTTTTCAGCAAACAGTTTCCCAAGGGGTTCGATTAAATTGACAGCAAATGCCAACGTTTCGCTCTCTTTGGGTGGGTGGGTGCATCCCATCTCCGGTTCATGGTGTGCCAGCCGACTTTTCTTCTCTAGCTTAGGGTTTGCCAACCCACATCTTGTTCTTTTCGGGCTTGGGTTGCCACCCACGACCTGCTTTTTAAGGTTTGGGGTTTGCCACCCGATTATCCTTTCTTGAAGGTTCGCGGCTTGCCAATAATTCTCTCTCTCATGTTCAGGGTTTGCGTGGGGCGGAAGACCCGAAACGCTCGAAGTCGTGAAGCATTCGTGACAGTTATTAGAAAAAGGGGTAGCATCAGTCATAGCGGTGGCAGTGGTAGTCGTAGTCATTGTCGTAGTCGCAGTCATAGTTGTAGTCGTAGTCGTCGTAGTAGTAGTAGTAGTAGTAGTAGTAGTAGTAGTAGTAGTTTAGTAGTAGTAGTAGTAGTAGTAGTAGTAGTAGTAGTGGTAGAAGTGGTAG